TTTAACAATCCTTGGATAAGATCCCTAAATGACTAAACTATCCCCAACTCTTTTTTCCTATTTTTTTTTTTGTAATTTAATGCTCTTTTTTTTTATTTGAGAATATTTATAAATATTCTTTTAAATTCTCCAAATTCGTTCCATGTGATCTGATGATTTCACAAATTAATATTTTTTTCTCCATGTTTGATTTGTTATATTGGGTTGGTTTTTTCATTTTTTCTTTAAATGTAGTTCGTCGATTGACCTCTTGAACAATTTTTTTAAAAAAATAAGCTTTGTGTATTTCAACAATTTAAGTAGAGCTTAAATCTATGTTAAGTTCAAGGTATATTTGACCAACAAAAAAATATGAAATATACTGTGCTATCAAGGATCTCTATGGTGGCATATCACACATCAAAATTAATAATAATTTTTTGAATATATTCTAGTATTTAACTTGACAAATTAAATGAAATATAAAATCTCATAATAACTCAAGGGTATAATAGGAAATAAACTTTTTCTAGAATTTTAAACCAAACATAAGATAGAATGGGAAACAATGAACCAAACACTTGATAAAAACTAATTCCTACATTACTAAATCCTGCATTACTAATCCATGCATTAGTAATCCTTGCATTATGCATCTTTGTACCAAACGACCCCCAATAGTTAATACGTACTTCCTCTGTTCTTAATTACTTGTCCACTTTTGAATTGACACACATATTAAGAAAGTAATGATTGACATAGTGAGTTTACCATTTTACCCCTATTAATTATGAAGTTGTATGGATTAAAACTTAAGATTTTTAAAAAGTTCTACATTTTCAAAGTAATTAATTGAAGGTATAATAAGTAAAAGAATCTGTCATTTCTTGATTTGTCAAAATGAACAAGTAATTAAAAACAACTAAAAAAGGAAGAGTGGACAAGTTGTTTGCTTTTTCCCTTTTTCTTGGGGATCCGGTTCTTCTCCATTTCTCTTCTCTCCATTTTCCCCAAATTCTAGCCTGCATTGGAGACACATGTCATAGTTAAGACTTTGTTTTAATTAATTATATCTCAACCATTAATTCTAAACTATGACATGTGTCTCTAATACAAGCTAGAACTTGGAGAAAATGGAGAGAAAAGAAATTGAGAGAAGCCTGATCCTTTCTTCTTATATAATACCGACATAAGTTAGTGAGAAAATTTATGATTAATGCAAATATACAATAGAAATAAGTGTATTAAATAATAGTAACTCGATAAAAATATTAGAATGATAAAAATTATCTCTCAATGAACAAACTTTTTTTTTTACTAAAAAGTAGTATACAAATATTTGAATTATACATTTGAAAAAATTATCTCGACTAAAATTTTTATTTTAAAAATTACTTTTTAAATTCATTGGTGTTTTCATACCGCAAATAATTTTTACTAGTTATAATTATATAATCAAACTACACATCCGAAAAAAATAATCCACGTTACAATCTTTGATGTAAGAATTGTACAATTCTTACATCACGAGAATTTATTTATTCCGTTAAGCATCACAGATAATCTAAAATATACAGCAGCCACATGCTTTATTTTTCGGCCGATAACGGAGAAAGTAACGGATTATTAGCGAATTATCCTATGTAAGTAATGATCTGAATTCTGAAGGGCTATTTGAGGAAAAACACACATAAACAATTACTTTCTCTGTCACATTTGGAGCATGAGAATCAAAACAATTAATTTAGATAATGAATTCAGGTACGGAATTTTCAGATATTTAAAAGTAAAATTTACATAATTAAAAATCATATATAAAAAGTATTACAAGTCAATATAGCACATGATTTTTTACAAAATTATAATTCGAAAAATCTGTTTGACCCTCTAAATAATAACACCTTGACATAAAAATATGACGTATGTATCATATTTTTTTTATTTGTAATCATAAATTTATATACATCCTTTATTTTTTCTTTTTATTTTCTTGGGTCTCATGTATTACTAAATTGCATTCACCAATTCGTAATATGGGTTGGTGAGTTCGGTCGATTAAATAAATTGCATGTCGGCAATTAAGATCATCCTGAACATGATATATCCATAGCCTATAAGCATATAAAAAATTCTGAGTAAAAAAATTGTCTAGTTTTTACTGCTTCAAAAATGTGGTTGGCTTTCAATGCTATTCCATAATATAAAGCATAAAGTCATTGTTCGTTTATGCTAAGGCCGTCCGTCCCGTTAGCTTTGTGGGATGGGGTGGGGATATGGGTTTGTCTTCTATTATTATATCAAAAACAATTTTTAACGTTAATTAATTATCAAAAATGACTTAATTATCGTTAAATATGTTTTTTTTAGAGGCAAGCAATACTTTTTTTAAATATCCCTAAAGTCTATAGTAACACTGAATCCAATGTCAATTAGTTGAGCACTCTTATTTATATGCATATTTATTGCCATTAAAAGTTATTTTTATTGCAGTATATGTATTGTTTCACTTTTAACTTCCCAGTCCACCTATCCTGTTAAGAACTTGTTCCGTGCCAATTAAATTAGAAAAAGCATTTTTATATGTTTGAAATTGCAATCTTTTTTTCTTATCATTATTAATTTTTATTTTTATATTTTTGGAGTCGGTAATAAGTAAAAGTAACATAACTGACGTTCAGAAACCATAATATGTCAAGGTTATTTTAAAATTTGTGTATTCTTATATCACCTATTGTACTATCATCTTTTTATAAATTTTTAATGCTTAAATATTTAAATCAATAGTAATAATTAAAAAATCTCACTCAGGCCCTGCCCCGTCCCGTCCCATTAGCTTAGTGGATGGGACGGGGCGAGGGGTTCATCCGCACCAATCCTCCCTATCCCGTTAAGAAATCGTCATGTGCCGTCCCCCTAAAATCGTCCCTTTCCGCCCCCACTAGATATCCTTAGTTTATATATCATGCATGAAATATACATACAACTTGGGCAGAAAGTATAGTTGGTTAGTTGGTGGTTTGTAAATAGAGACACCATAAAAGTTTTCCTATAAATGTTGAAAGTCAATATAAGGGAAGGAAATGTGTAAGCAGTCAAAACAAGAAAACATAACAAATAAACAAAAGGGTACTCGTGAGATCCAAAATTTACGGAATTAAGCCAAATAAGAAAGAGTCTTGTCATCTACCCATTCAATTCAAACTTTGAATAAGTCACTAGTCTATTATTCGTCTCAGTCAAATCTTGTATATTTCAATGTCAACTCTCCCTATATATATGTCCAACAATTTTTTCATAATCACAACTAAATCCATTTTTTCTTTACCATAATCTCTCTATTACACAAAAAACTTTTCCATCCTAAATCAGTTAACATCCATTGGAGAAATTAGAAAAGATGACAATCCTCCAATCTTCAAGTTTCTTGAATTCTGTTGCCTCAACGTCATCCAACTACAGTTGTAAACGAGGATTGATAAGAGCTACTATTAATATTCCAAGAATTAAAACAAGCAAAATCTCTCTTCCGAATCTTCAATCAGTGCATGAACAAGATTTGATTAGCTATTCAACCATAGTAAACAACGATAACCTAGTCGAGATACAACTTAGCCCAGGTACAACAAGAAGCCATATGGTTAATGGTCCTGATCCCCTGGTTATCGAGAAGCTTTACGCGATCAAGGAGGCAGTTGCAGATAGAGTGGAGATGCATAGAAATATAGGGGAGCAAAGAAGTCAGTGGAATAGTATGCTTTTAACATCTATTAATGGGATAACTCTAGCAGCTGCTACAATGGTTGGAATTGCAGCTAGCACTGGTGCTGAGGGTGATTCTGTTTTGGGACTAAAAATGTCTTCCACTTTGATGTATTTGGCTGCTACTGGAATGTTGACGATCATCAACACGATTCAACCATCCCAGCTTGCTGAAGAACAAAGAAACGCAACAAGGCTTTTCCAAGATCTACATAACCAAATAGAAACAACTTTATCAATCGGTCACCCTTCAAGTATTGATGTGAAAGTAGCTATGGACAGAGTATTGGCTCTTGACAAGGCTTACCCTCTTCCTCTTCTTGGTGTAATGCTAGAGAAATTTCCATCTTCTGTTGAACCTGCTGTTTGGTGGCCTCAACAACGTCGAAGACAGACTAAAAGTGTCAACAATTGGAACGGATGGAATAGTAAACAGGAGGAGGAAATGAGAGAAATAATGGGCGTATTAGGCAGAAAAGACCAAGAAGAATACATTAGGCTGGGGGAAAAGGCATTGAAATTGAACAAGTTTTTAGCCATGTCCGGTCCTTTGCTCACAGGCGTAGCAGCGATTGGCTCTGCATTTGCAAGTCATTCTCCTCATGGATCATGGGCAGCCATGCTAGGAATTGTTGGTGGCGCATTAGCAAGTGTTGTTAACACAGTAGAGCATGGTGGACAAGTTGGAATGGTATTCGAGATGTACAGGAGCAACGCCGGTTTCTTCCAGTACATGCATGAATCTATTGAATCAAACTTGAGAGAAACAGAAACGGAGAGAAGAGAAAATGGTGAATTGTTTGAATTGAAGGTGGCTTTGAAGTTAGGCAGGAGCTTATCAGATCTGAGAAATCTTGCTGCTGCTTCTTCATTGAAGGAAGAACATTTAGATGAGTTTGCAAGCAAGCTTTTCTAATGTTGTACATATTTTTGTATTACTAGTGGAACATATTCTTTAATTTTTTTGAATATATATTCTTTAACAAAGTTAATTGGTTTAAAACAGTACTGTCTATGAGCATATTTTTCTGATTCTATACTGATTAGTCCTTGAAATTTCTTACCAAATCTTATCTGTCATGATCCGAATTCATGAGACCATGACTGCCCTTAGCAAGCATCTACCCGACTAAGCAAGTCTATACTAAGATTGATTAAAATGTACTCATTAGTAATTAGTACAAAACCAATAGATTTAGCTAGTAATTAGCTTGATTCTATGACAAAAGTCAAGGATTTGAGAGTGAAATTAGGGTGGTTAATTAACCTAGGGTAAGGTCAAGAGAGATATTATTATTATTATTATTATTCACATCATCTAATCCGGCAGATGGTTGTAAGGACATAGTTGTGCTGCCGGAGTCTTCGGCTTCTTCTTCAGTATCAATCATTGAAAAATGCTTATTTGACAAACTGCTACCATAATGATCGCCTACACTCCCATCCTGCCATAATTAAGCAAAATTAGTTAAGTAGTTAATCTCACTAATCTATTTGCTTCCAATTTTTTGGATAATTAATTACTTGAACAGTAGTGCAGCCATTGAAAAAATCCCTGAACATGTTGCAAGCTGGGTTCGATCGACCTTCTAATCCCATCATCTTCTTGGGCATGGGTTTCCTGGGAGGGGTAAACATGTAATTTCATAAATCACCATTGTAATACTAGCTCCGGTTATCTGTCTTATTTTTCAGGTAATTCCACTTGTTAATGATTCTAGCGGATAAAATTACACTAATCGTGTAAAAATTGTTCACATTCAATATATATAAGTTAAATTCAGTAAGAAGTTAGGTGTGAATAAGAAATGAAACGAACCACGGAGCTGGAGGGATAAAAGGAGGCGTAGAGGCAATTTGGTCCGAATAGGTGCTAGTTATTGTCGAATTAGGATGGCCATTATAGTAATGATGAAGAAAGTGTCCATGGGGATAATTCACTTGATCTGGACCATCCATTCTATTCCTCTTGCTCCCATTTGCAGCCTCTGCTACTGCTATAACAAAAAAAAATATCAAATGAAATTGTGATAAACTTAATTAACTAGTAACTGTTGAACGAATAATTTAAAGTTGGAGTAGGAAATTAAATTTGTCTAGAATTTGAATATTTATCTGTTGAATCCAGGTTCTATTATATGAACACTTCTTTGCTTGTACAAAAAGAGTCCACCACCACACATGGCAAATAAGATCTTTCTTCTTTACCCCAATATTCGGTCTGATTTTATGGACCCTTTATTAGGATTCTAATGGACATGAAGTTCTGACCATCTATCATAGAAAAAAAGAATGAATCGTGTATATATCTTTTTGGAGATTTTTTTTGGAAACAAATGATTAAACATCTACTTTTTCTTATGTTCCGTAATAGACAGGACATTGAAGAATAACCAAAAAAAACATTTCGAAAATCGGCTAGATTCTATCTCTTTTGCTTCTGATTGAAAAAGGAACGGAGCACAAGAAATTGATCTTTAATCTTTCTTTGATTAATCAATATGTAATATTCCGAATCTTCATGATCACTAATGAAATCCCAATGATCTCTAGACTGATCAGTTGATTAACGGAAAATTTGATATACATAGCTTAAATATACACCCAAAATAAAAAGAATGAAATTGAGGTAAATTATCAATTTTGGCCTTGCTAGCCATAGACTAGGTAGTGACTAGTAGTTCTAATTAGAACGTCCTTTTCACTTTTTAGTAACCAAAAGCGGTATTGTAAGGAATATATAATGGAGTATTCAGGAAAAAACATAAAGGGTCAAATAAAACATAAAAAGATTCCTCAAATGGAACTTCAATATCTTTTCTTGATTTCATCACTATTCATTCATTTACTTTCTATTTTCTCAAAAATTGTAGTATTAATTAAGTCATAAACTTTCAATTTGACTCATCATCTAATAAAATCAAGCTCCTCGATCGCTATAATGAATTTTAAAATCCCCAAATGAAAAGAAGCACAAAACATAAATAGAATAAGAAATTAAAGGTAGTTTATTGAAGGATACCTTGCATCAACTGTTCATGTTTCATACTTCTGTACATCTGTTCATATCATCAAAAAATACATCTTCTTAAAGCTACAGATCAAACGGTTGGAAAAGAAAAAAGAATGAAAGGCTTAATTATCTGTTAATAAATAACCTGAAGGTGACTCTTAACGTGAGATATGGTGAGGCCCTTCACATCCATCAACTGTAGCACCATCTTTGGTGTTGCTCCTAATTATATATGTACCACAACAAAATCAATAAATAAATAAATAAATAGCTACCAAATTATTAAGTCATCATGATATATAAAGAGAGAGTTAGGCTTACGATCTTCTCCACCAAGACGCTCAACAGCATGCACAAAGCTGCGATGAAGATCATGTGTCCATCGGAGTCTAGGCATTTTCGATCGAACATATGGTCTTACACCTGATTTGTTATTGTTAGTATTTTCTAATATAATTGGCTGCTTCATGGATAAATTAGAAGAAGAATTTTCTGAGAAGTGATGTAGCCCGTTCATCATGTGGTTGGGAAGATGGGGCAAGGGAAGAAGTAGTACTTATGGTGTATGATACAATAAAAGGAGAATATTTATTAGGGAGTCTGTTGTCATGTTTTGTCTATTTCTGCAGGCTTTTTAACAACAAGGGATTTGAGTTCTTGAAAGAGTTTTCATTTTAAAAGTCTCTTGAATTTTGATTATGAAGCTGAAAATTTTCCACACATATTCAACCTTGCACTCATAATTACATGAAAATAGTGAAGAACTTTAATGAATAAGAACAAAATAAGTCCCCAGAAAAAGATTCTAATTGATTATAATAGCTTTACTTTACAGGACATCTTTGTTTGAAGTCGGCATCAAAACATTCTTGTGTGCCCACTTATGAGATAGATTATACACCACAAACACACCTTTTTGATCAGTCTTAACTTTAAAATACCCTTAAAAATGGCCTAAACAGATCATTAATGGTGATTGAACATAGAAATGATCGTCAATGTTAAGATTAGCTAAAAGACAAATTAGTGTGTGAAAAGTGAAAACCTCTTTTGGCATTTGGTGAAGTCAGTTACGAATAATTAATTAACACTTCAAGCGTGTACTTGATGAGTTATACAAGTGTGTTGTTTCAGAGCTTGATATACTCATTATATTATTTTTTAAAATTTGACTAGTACTCTCTCCTTCTCAAATTAACAATCCCAAAATTATTATAGTTGGAAATCTTATGGAAAATATTTTTCACGAACACTTGTACGGAATTCATCATGCGTATCATATACTGTCCTTAAGGATATTTTTTTTCCAACAATTATTGTTTTTTAAGAATTAAAAGAAGAATGCACAATATTTAAAAGAAATAATCAATCTACTTTTATTATTAAAGGATTAACTTAGTAAATTATACTCCCTATGTTCCATTTTATGTGACACTTTTCGGATTTCGAGATCCAAACAAGTCTGTCTTTGACCGTAAGTTTTCCATAAATCTTTTAAACATTTTGAATTATCAATTATTGTGACTTATAATACTTTTTACGTAGTTTACAAATATATGAATTTCATTTCAAAAAAAATTGAAGATTCCATGCGCAAATTTCCGATCAAACTTAAACTGTTTGACTCTCGAAAAATAAAAAGTGTACGTAAATTGGGACAGAGAAAGTACTTTCTATATGTTTGTGAAATATTTTTTTAATAGGCATTGAAAGTCATAACAACACTTAAATGAAATTGTGAAGTAACATATAGCTTAGCTTATTTGACCTTTCTTTTGTAGTTGCCAAAGCTAGATATAACAAAGCTTTGCTTCATTTCTTAAATTTCATATCCAATTAAAATGTATCACGTAAATTCACGGAGAATATATTTATTATCCGAAGAAGAATGATGAGTGGTGAAGTGAGACCAAAGAAGGAAAAGATGAGGGTGACATAGGCAAATGTATGTCCTCAAGGAAACATACCAAATTCTCCCTGCCCCACTAATTCACCATTTCCTCTCCCTGGAAACCGTAACTCCTTCTCATCCCTAAAGTTGTTTTAATATTTTTTTTCTTTCTTTTTCGAGGGGCGAAGGACTCTAAACGTTATTAACGTTACCCCTGACTAGATGGAGCCAATGAAATAGTGACGCGTGATGACACGTCTAAAAGTTTGGTGACACGTGGCTCATTCGCGATAACTTCTATGAATAAATAAGGATATCGATCATTAAATGAAATCTCAACATATCATATTTTTTTAACGATGACACGCTAGAATTTCTGCGGGCTTCCGTAAGATACTTAATATTTAGTGGGGCGGGTGCAGAAATTCTAAGTAGCTTACGTCGGAATTGGTTGATGGGTGGAATTTAGGAGAAATCCTTTGCGGAATTCAGTCACAGCCGAGATGGCCGAATGTAGCCAAAAAAATAGTACGTAAGTGGACAAAAATTGGGGATGAAAACGGGAACGGAGTGGCTTGGAAAAATGACAGGAATATTCTCTGGCAGGAGATAATGCATGGACAAGTATTTTGTAAGCATGAATAATGGACACTCTAAGAAATTTGAGAATTTTATTTCTCTAGCCGTGATCATTCATTAAGTGACTCTGATTATGTTCAATTCCCGATGAAAAACAAAAAAAAGTTGGGTGATTAATTATTTTCTTATTTCTCTAAGTTTGATTTAATTTGATTAATAGAGTGTATTCACATCGATGGAATAATCAGTAGTATTTGGTAGAATAATCAAGATGCGCACGAAGTAGATTTTTTTTAAAAAGCTTCTCAACGTGTGGGTTACTTGTGATTAGGGGTGTACAAAATCGAATCGAAAATCGAACCAAACCGTAAACCGAGTCAATCCGGAAAAAAAAACCCGACTAGTGGTTGGTATGACTTGGTTTGGTTTTTGAAAAAAAAAACCCGACTATATTTGGATTGGTTTGGTTTTAACTAAAAAAAAACAACCCGAGATCAAACCAATCCGACATTATATATATAATTTTAAAATTTTATTTTATACATAAAAATATTTACTTTGATATAATTTTTAAATATTTCTTATACTTTTTCATAGTTTTTATCTTTTAATATATTATTTCAAGTTTGAAACTTAGAATTATGAATAGGCCAATAAAGATTATAGTCCACATATGTTGGTAATTATAATAAAACTTAAATCTAAATCAAATTAATACTCATGCAAAAAGAAAATCAATTCAACACTAAGAATGACAATAATATTGAATATTTGTTCTTTAGTTTTACATTGATTTAGACAATTAAAATGCATAATCTAATTTTAATTTCCTTTAATATTTAGTCATGTAACTAATACTTATTAAATTTAATTTTAGCATGATTTAGTACTTTTAAATTATGATCATTTTCATTATGACTTGTTAATTTGCAATATTTGTTTTACGCTATTTCATTATTATTATTTTTGTTGGATATTTTAGTGTCATTAATCATATCATATTGTGTTATATTTTTAAGAAACATCTTAAATAGTTGTATTTTGATAGGACTAAAGAAATATTTGAAATACAAGTAAATTATATGTTTGTATGAATACTTTACCGGAAAACCCGAAATAACCTGAAAAAACCCGAGTTTTATTGGTTTGGTTTGGTTTATAAATTTAAAAATCCGACACAAATGATTTGATTTGATATTTGAAAAACCCGAATCAACCCTGCCATGTACACCCCTACTTGTGATCAAATTATTATGTGTTATTGTATTTGATGTTTACTATTGGAGCAACTAAACAAAGTAGTTTGAATGGTCAGAAACAAGACAGAGGAAGGAGTGAACGCCTGACTGGATAGAAAGTGTGAACACAAAAGTATTGTGAAAAGTGTGAACAGAACCATATTTTAAAAGAAAGAATGCAGAGAATGAGAAAACCCAACTTAGCCTTAATTTAGACGAGAGAATGTAACCAATGTTAATTGTTGTAATATTCATCCCAGTAACTGACGAATAGTTAATATGATAGAGTTTCAAATTTCACATGTCAAATTTCTTGACAATAGCTATTCTCCCTCCATGACCATCTGTTATTTAACTCAAAAATATGTACAAAATAATTGTCATTTTAAAAATCTAAAATTAAAGCCAACAATTGTTTTCTACCATTATTAAATTAAAGAAGTATGTGCAATATTTAAGAGGAAAAATTAATCAGCTTTTCTTCTTCTTCTTTTTAATCTGCTTTTATTAAATAAAGATAACTTAGTAAATTATACTTTGTATTTATATATTTATTTTTTTCTTAATAAGCATAATAAAAAGGTCTGAAATATATCTGAACTTTGACCGAAATTACTATAACAATACCGAACTTTGGAAAGGACCTTTTACCCCTGCACTATTTAATAGTGTATTTTAAAGGTATATATGTGCCCACGTGGACATCATAAATATTGCATCATTATAAATCGTAACATGTCAACGTGGGCACATATATAATTTTAAAATACACTATTAAATAGTGTTGAGGGTAAAAGATCCTCCATAAAATTTGATATCGTAACAACAATTTCAGCCAAAGTTAAAGTATTTTTCAGACCCTTTTCCCAATAGAATACATTCACATTTATGGAATACCGTAGAATTATCAAGATGCACACTAATTAGATATAGAAAAATGGTTTCTCAACGTGTGGGTTCGAATTGTTATGTCATTACGTGTTTATCGTCTGAACAATTCTGTCTTATTTAATAAAAGAGATAAATGTCAAAAACACACCTAAACTATACTTTTTTTAGTTTCATACCTAAACTATCACTTTTTAGTTTGAGAAACACACATATCTCTTTTATATCACTTTCATCATGGTGTGTGTAATACACTCTCTTTTTTATTTAAAAAAATTATCACATCACACTCCACATGTGTCACACCCCTTTTTGCGCATAGCGGTGGAAGGGTTTTTCCAATTTAAGTGACGTTATTGATTAAGGGATTTTTTATCTTTGTTTATTTTTTCAGAGTCACCACTTTGAATTGAGTTGTGGTGTTCCAAGTCACCTTTTCAAATCCCTAATCAATAGGAAATGACTCTTTTAGTTTTGGTCTACGAACTAGAAATTCGGGTAAGGAATTCTGTTGATCGAGGGGAAGGTATTAGGCATCCCTCGAGTCCCGTGGTTCTAGCACGATCGCTTTTATTGACTTATACTTATTTTAATATGTTTTTGGATAATTTGTGTCTAAGGCCATGATTCACTTATTTTTTAATTGTTGAATTTTTATTAGTCTTAAACCGGATGCATAACTGCATTCTCGATCTTGACATTTTAGAGACATAACTGTCTTCTTTGCATCACACTTAATAACCTTATTTTTTATAAGTCTTACCTTAAATTAATAAAAACTATTTATATTAGTGGACAAGGTGCGTCACCGCATCCTTGAGTTTATTTTAATGTCTCAAAAAAGATGTGTAACCACATTCTTAATTGAAACAAATATTTTTTAATTTGTTTAAGTGTTTGATCTAACATTAAAAGAAAATATAT